AAGGACAGCCTTTACTGGCTCTGGCCAGTTTTCCAGATCAAATGGCAGGTTAAAGCTGGAGAGAGTTCCTGCTTCCACCCGATCTGGGATGCTAGCCCCATCAGGAACGGCCTCTCCACCTTGATGTAGGGGGTGTCCATGGGACCTCAGGCCGACTCCTGCCCCTGCCCCTTCTTTTCCGCATGACCCTGCCACTTGACCTCTCCAGGCCTCCACTTCCCCATCTATAGAATGGGAACCATCCCGCTCACCTCCAGGGGCTGAATTATATGCAGTAAGTCGGTACTTTTTGAACCCTGAGGAGGACTCATGAGCCATGCCATCCATTCATCCATCTGTCCACCCATTTGACATTTTTTTATGGGCACCTGCTGGGGGCCAGGTGTGTCCTATTGCTAGGAGAGTGGTGAACAAGATGGACAGCGCCCCCTGCCCTCCTGGAGTTTATGTTCTGGTAGGGGGAAACTGACAAAAAGTAAGTACGTACATTAATAAGATCATTCTCAGAGAGTGCTAAGTACCATGACGTAATAAAAAACGGCTAATATGACATCCATGGGGGTGGTGGTATTTGAGCTGGCTCCTGTGTCACTCTAGACCTAGGTCAAGGTAGGTTGGAAACCTCCAGGGTAAAGAGGGAAGTTTGAATCACGTCCGCTGTGTGATCTTGGTCACGCTACTTGATTCTTGGGCCTCATTTTCCCGATCTGTAAAACGCAGACAAAAGCGTCTCTCCCATGGAGGAAGTGATTCTTGAAAATAAGAATTTTTTAATTCTATAAAACTTGGCAATACTGATCAAAGTACTAACGATAAAAGACATCTCAAAAGAACCACCTGGCTTAGCGAGGTGCTGCAGGATCAGAGGAGCTCGTGGCTGAGAAAGCGGATGCTTTAACACCTGGCCCGTGAGAGGCCTTCTTAGTGTTTCGTGTTCGGGTTGCACTCCTGTCACTGTGATCGTTCAGCCAGTGATTCCGAGGGTTTTCAGGGCCAGCAGGAGAACCCTTCCCCTCTCCCACCTTGAGTCGATACCCAGGCCCCTACATCCAGGCCACCTGCCTTTCCTGGCCTCAGGGACTACCTGGGGACAGGAGAGAGTGGTGTCCATTTCCCGGGTCAAACCCCAGAAAGGTGAGGAGCCCTCCACCTGGCGGGGGTCAGTGGCAGGTCATTTCCATGACGATAGCATGTGTTGGTTTGGGTGGTTTTTGTTTTTTTCACTTTCCAATTTTTAAATACTTCTAGCTCTGTTGACGAGGTCTAACGATAGTACAGCGAGTTCCATATCCCCCTCGCCCAGCATCTCCTAATGCTAACGTTTTACACAACCATGTGCATTGAAGAAATTACACTGGGAGGTTCTTACAATATGTGCTTCATACAAGCCTGGGGAGGGTGGGACGTACCTCAGGGGAGCCCCAGATACCTCTTGTGGCCTTTTTTTTTTAACATCTTTATTGGGGTATAATTGCTTTACAGTGGTGTGTTAGTTTCTGCTTTATAACAAAGTGAATCAGCTATACATATACATATATCCCCATATCTCTTCCCTCTTGCATCTCCCTCCCTCCCACCCACCCTATCCCACCCCTCTAGGTGGTCACAAAGCACCAAGCGGATCTCCCTGTGCCATGTGGCTGCTTCCCACTAGCTATATCTATTTTACGTTTCGTAGTGTATATATGTCCATGCCTCTCTCTCACTCTGTCACAGCTCACCCTTCTCCCTCCCCATATCCTCAAGTCTATTCTCTAGTAGGTCTGTGTCTTTATTCCCGTCTTACCCCAGGTTCTTCATTACCTTTTTTTTTTTTCCTTAGATTCCATATATATGTGTTAGCATAAGGTATTTGTTTTTCTCTTTCTGACTTACTTCACTCTGTATGACAGACTCTAGGTCCATCCACCTCACTACAAATATCTCAATTTCGTTTCTTTTCACGGCTGAGTAATATTCCATTGTATATATGTGCCACATCTTCTTTATCCATTCATCCGATGATGGACACTTAGGTTGCTTCCATGTCCTGGCTATTGTAAACAGTGCTGCAATGAACATTTTGGTACATGACTCTGCACATTCAGTTTTTCGTTTGTCTCTCACTAGGAATTGTTACCGCCCCCTTCCTTCACTGCAGGGGCAGATGGGGGAGCAGATGCCCAGAGAGGGACCTTCCCCAACAAACAGGGCCAGGCTGGGCCTCGAAGCCTAGCTCTTGATCCCCACCTGCGCTGTCCTCACATCACAACACTGCGTTTCCAGAGGCGATGGTGACTTACCTGACGCCCCCCCAGTATTTGGCAGGCTGGGGACCTGGCATCTCCAGGAGAAGGTGGCAAGCTCCTTCTGTCCTCTTTTGTCCCCTGGAGAGAAAAATAACAGAGAAGACTCTCCTAAAATAAATCTTCCAAATAAAGGTCTCCGAAGACCTGGCTAGTGAGCAGCACCCCTTCTAACCAGCACACGAGGGCCCCGCAGTTGAGAGGACATGGAAGGGGGTGCAGAGGGGTTCCCAATGCGGGCTGAGGCCTCCTGTGCACCAGCACTTCTCTTCTGACTGTATCTGGATCAAAAAGCAAAGCCGGGCTTCCCTGGTGGCGCAGTGGTTGAGAGTCCGCCTGCCGATGCAGGGGACGTGGGTTCGTGCCCCAGTCTGGGAAGATCCCACATGCTGTGGAGCAGCTGGGCCTGTGAGCCATGGCCGCTGAGCCTGTGCATCCGGAGCCTGTGCTCCGTGGCGGGAGAGGCCACAACAGTGAGAGGCCCGCGTACCGCAAAACCATAAATTATGTAATGGGTTGGCTCAGCTTGATTTCATCTAAGGTTCTGCGGTTCTAACTAACTAGCTAGCTAACTAATTACTATAACCTATCCTTTCTTCTTCTCTTCATCAATGATGAGGGAAAAAGAAGATTTAGAATTTCTTAATTCCCCAGTGGCCCAATGGTTAGGACTCCACTCTCTCACTGCCGAGGGCCCGGGTTCGATCCCTGGTTGGGGAGTTAAAATCCCACAAGCTGTGCGGTGTGGCCAAAAAAAAAAAAAAAAAAGAAGCAAAGCCAACTTTCCTTCCTTTTACAGACGATGCTAGTGAGGCTCAGAAAGCCTAGGCGCCTTGTCTGAGGTCACACAGCCCGTCAGGGGAAGAGCCAGATTCGGGGGCCCAGGCCTCTTTAGCTGAGCTCTTCCTATCACACAAGAGACCAGCCCAGCACGGCTATTGGGTCTTTCCTAAATACACCCCATTGCATCCTGCCCTCTGAGCCTTGACCCCTCCATCTGCTTTCTCCTATGGGAATCCTGCATCTTCTTACAGGCCTGTATCAGAAGCCACCTTTCCTCTGAAGGTTTTGCTGATCCCTTAAATAGAAGGCACCTCTCCTCCTGTGAATGCGAAGTCTCTGTGCCTCTCCCGTCTTTTCACAAACACATGTGGTCCCCTCGGTGTCAGCTGTGGAGCCAGGAGGTGGGATGGAGGGAACAAAGCCAGTGGGGGCTGTAGCCTTAGGGTCCAATGGGGCAGGCAGACAGCAAGTGACTAAGCAAGAACATACTCAGAAGTATTTCGAGAGTGGTGAGTGCTGGGAATATAATAAATAATGATGAAAGCAAAGAGGGTCGCAGTAGGGGTGGGTCACTGCTTGTGCCAGAGTGGTCAAAGAAGGCCCATTGAGGGATAATGTTTAAGCTGAGACTAGGTAAGTGAGAAGGAGCTGGCTGTGAGGCAGCCTGGAAAGTGTACCAGGCAGTGAGAACGGCAGGTGCAAATATCCTGCGGTGCGAATGCCCTCGGCATGCTTGAGATTCAGAGAAAAGGCCAGCAGGACAGAGCATTTCCTGATATCATCTTCTTCCAGAAGCTCCTGGGGTGCAGGGACCAACTCCGGATCCCCTGTGTCTCCCCTCACCTGGTTGGGACATCCCTTTGTTCATTTTTGTGGAGTTGGATTCAATAGAGGGACATCTGATCAACCCCTGGTGCTGACACCAGTCTCTGACCTCCTTAATGAATATTAAGGCTAAGCAGAGCAGATGGACACTGCTGGGGAGATGGAGTGGGAGGGCACTGTGGCTTGCAGCCAAGCCCACACAGAGGGGCCTGGACCCCAGAGCTTGAATCCTCAGCCACTTACAACCTGGACACTCTGAAAAGTCACGTCACCTCCCTGGGCCTCAGTTTCCCCCTCTGTAAAATGCGGACAATCAGTCCCAGATCCCTGAGTGTTTGCAAAGATTAATGAAGAGACAGAGCCCAGCTCATTCTGAGCACCTGGATGCGGTCACCCCTCTGAGCTGAGGTCATGGGCTCCAGGGTCTGGCTCCGTCCCCCAGATGAGGAGGAACACACAGTGGTTCCTGGCTGCTCACCAGATCCCTTTCCCTGGACCTTCTAAGTCAGAAAGTTCAGGGCAAGGGGACTCTTTATCTTCTTAGATCCGGCTGGTGACCCTCATGGGCTAAGACAAGTGGCTATGAAAGAGCTCAGGGTCCGAAGTCAGACACACCTGGGTCTGAAGCCTGGCTCTGCTTCTTACTAGCTGTGTGACGTCGTAGACATTGCTGGACTCTGAGCCTCAGTTTCCTCATTTGTGGAAGGGGAATAATGATAAAATGCACAATATGGGATTATTGTCAGAATCAAATAAGATATTGTATATAAAGCACTTAGAAAAGGGACTGACATGATTAACCTTCAGAAAACTATCATCACCACTATTATTATAGTTATTATTACTAATAATTTGTGGGTGACATGACATCGTGAAGCGAAAGATATGGCAGGCTCATCATTTCCCATATCACTTCATTCATTCACTCATTCATTCATTCATTCATCCCCACGCTCACTTGCTCCATCACTTCAGCTTTCCCTTCTGCAGCAGATTCGAGAATCAAGAGAAAACACCAGTGCGGGGGTGAGGGGGCCGCAGGCAGGTCCTGGCCAGTCTCTGCTGCACGGACCACCTCTGACTCACCTCTGTCATTTTCTTTTGCAGAATTCTCTGCTCTGGTGGCTGAAAGCTAAGAGGCTCTGACTGCCCAGGTCTTGTCCTTCTCTGCCCCAAACACCCGATCTCAGCCCCACTTGCTGCCCTCCTGCCTTTCTGTTCAGTTTGTTTATGCTATTTTTACTACCCCTGTCCCTTGTGGCCCTTGAAGGACACCATTCTTCTGGAAAATGATGGAGAAACAATAAAGGCTGTACCAATCAGATTGCGCTGTTTGAGAGGAACCAGGCCTGGTGGGGTGTGGCTCCTGCCTTGGCATTCCAGGCACACCTGCATGAGGATGGGGCAGGATACAGACAGAAAAGATGAAATGGAAGGGAAGTTTACTGAGCCCCTCCTTGGCCTTTGGCCTGTGGGTTGCCCATTCATCCTTGAAACCACCCATAAGGTAGGTGATGAAACTCTGTTTTACAGGTGCAGAAACTGAGTCTTGGAGAAAGTGATGCGTCTAAGCCCACACAGCTAGGACTTGTGGATGGTTGGATGGATGGATGGATGGATGGATGGACAGATGGATACTCATTAATACTCTTTTTGTTGCAAATGATAGAAACCCAACTCAAAGTAACTTAAGAAAAAAAGGAAGAAAAAACAAAGACTTGGTTATGTTCCTGAATAGTCCAGGGGTAGATCTTCAGGAATAGCTGGATCAAGGAACTTAAGTGATTTCATCAGGATTAAGTCCTTCTTTCCCCATCTCTGAGCACTGCTTTCCTTTGTGCTGGATTCATTATCAGGCAGGCTCTCCCTCCTGATGGCAAGATTCCTCCAGCCGCTCAAGGTGTATATTCAGAATATCAGTTAAAAAAAAAAAAAAAAGAGCTTCTCTTTTGCAATCACTCCATCAGAAGGCCCCAAATTATATCCTATTAATACCAGTAGCTCATGTTTACTGAGCACTTACTCTGCACCGAGCCCTTTTACGTGATTCCATCTATACAACAACCCTATGAAGTGGGGACTATTATTCTCTCCATTGTATAGATGAGGAAACTGAGGCACAGGAAGTTACACGTTCACCCAAGATCACATTGTGAGTAAGTGGTGGGACCAGGACCCCAACCCCGCAGCCACCTCCAGAGCCTGCATCCCTCCCTGGACCAGTCATGGCGACCTGAAGCCTGGGAGCCCTGATTGGCCCATTCTGGAAGGTGTCCCTCTATGGACACAGGCAGGGTCAGTGACACAGAAAACTCAAGTTTAGAGAAAAGCAGGGGAGAGACGTGCCCGTGGAAATCAGAAGAGGGGAGGGAAGCTGGGTGGGCAAGCATGGCAGCAGCCCTGCAGGATGGCTTCTGCTCTTCCCCACAACAGCCTTGGGGTGGGAACTGGAGCACTGTTCTTTCTCCCCTCCCCTGTCATGTTTCCAGACCCCGTACCCAGTGGTGTCTCTTGATCATTCCCCTGGGCACTGAGGTGTTGCCCTGGGTGGGGCTGTCAGGGAAGGTTCTCACTGAGGCTGAGGCCTGGGCAGGCAACCCATCAGCATCCAGGCTGAGAGGCAGGGATGGATGGGCCACCTTCCATGGTAGCAGCCGGACAGAGCCAGCACTCCCAGGCCTGGGAGGGGACTTGGGGCCAGAACCGGGAATTGGGCTAAAGCAGTGGCAAGCCCCGGAGGGCCGCCCTGCCGGGGATCAGCCTGGCACTAGGCCTCGGGGGCTGAGAAGGCAGCAGGTGAGCCAGAGGTCAAGCGGCTGGAAGTGGGCCTGGGTGAGCCTGAGCGTGTGAGTACGTGTGAGCAAGAGACAGTGTGTATGAGCTGGTGGGTGTGAGGGCACGTGTGTGCACATGCGCTCGTGACAGCAGCCAGGACCAGGGCCAACCTGGGTTTCCATATGAAGTCTAACGGGGCCCAATTTTGGACACTGAGGACAGGACAGATGAAAAGGGGCCGCCCTACGTGTGGCCCATGTAGATTACAGGGGCTGGGGAGCTGGAGCGTCTCCCACAGAAACCAGTACAGGGCCCCGCGAGAAGGACACGGGTCAGGAACCGTGACAGCTGCCGCTGCCGCTGGTCTGGGGTGGCCTTCAGCACGTCCTGCCCTGCACGCAAACGACAGCCCGCACATCACGATGCAGACCCGGGGCAGCACGTGGTGCAATCACCAAGCGCGTTTGTTTGACCTCGTAGGGGACACGGGACATTGGCTCCAGGGCCCTGTTTTGGAAAGGATTTGCCTAGAGCCTGGGCAGGACAAGGTAGGGGTTCCTTGCGGGGGCGGGGGGAGCGGTGGTGCAGTCAGAGGAGGTGTCATGACAAGTAACACCCCGGCCATCAGTTGCCAAGTCCACCTCGTCCCTGGCAGCCACCACCTGAGTCCAGGCCTGACCATGGGCTTGGTAGGGGCACTACTCCACGGAGCCATGCGGCCTGGGTCTCACACTTGTGAAGAGCCTCCAATTAGCATTTTTGGCATCTCTTCCAGTGAGGTGATTCTGCCAGTCGCTGTTGGTAACTCAGGTTTGGCATTTTTATAAACGGGGCAGTTTACTGTATGACTTGGCTTCAACCAGGCTCTGAGAGACACTGGTGGGAGCTGCCCCGGCCACTGGACCACTGCAGCGGCCTCCTACCCAGTCTTCTGGTCTCACCTCCCGCTCCCCGATCCATTCTCCACCCAGAGCCACCAAGGGCCCTTTCCAAAACAGACCAGGTCACATCATTCTGCTTGAAACTACCCAGTGACTGCCCCTTCTATAGAATAAAATAAACCTATTTTATTTATAATTCTGTAATATATTTAAAATATATTTATAATAAAGTATTCTATAAATCATTTTATAAGATAAAAAGCCAAGCCCAGGGGATTCCCTGGTGGCGCAGTGGTTGAGAGTCTGACTGCCGATGCAGGAGACACGGGTTCGTGCCCCGGTCCGGGAAGATCCCACATGCCGCAGAGTGGCTGGGCCCGTGAGCCATTGCCACTGAGCCTGCACGTCCGGAGTCTGTGCTCCACAACGGGAGAGGCCACAACAGTGAGAGGCCCGCATACCGCAAAAAAAAAAAGAAACAAACAAACAAACAAAAGCCAAGCCCAGCCTTCCCTGCCCCCAGGGACGGCCTGCCCTCCCTCTCCCCCACCCCATCCTCCATCTTTGCCTTCTCCCTCCAAGCTGGTCCCTCAGCCTGGACCATTCTACCCTCCCTGCCCTCCTCACCCCTCTTTCCCGGGCTCAGTCCTCTTCTTCCCCAGGAAAGCCCCCTGTAAGAAAAATAGTAAAAATAAAAATAGTCAAGGTGCTATAAGCTAGGTAAGGAGCAAGACGTACCTTTTTTTAAAAATAAAAACATATTTTCTCTTGGTGGATATGATGGTCATAGGTTTAGATGAGATTACATAAGGGAAAGTATGTGACTTGCTTCTATATTTAAATTTTTACTGTATTTTTTGAGCTTCACTTCTCTCCTATTCCAAAATATACTATTAGTTGCTTAGCACTGGAGGAATATTAATGTTAAACATTTTTTTAAAAACTTACTTTTGAGGGTGTTTTTGTCACCAGAATTTTTAATGAATTCTTCCATTTATATTAGAGGAATTTTCTCTAAACAACACAAGCCCAAAACATATACGTAAGGTACTCAGTGGATTATTGAATTGAATTGTCTTTCCTACCTACTTAAGCAGGGCTCTGTCCAGGTGAGCCTACTTTTCATTTCAAGCGTATGTACAAATTCAGCTCCTTAGAAAGTGTAACTAAGTGTCAGTGACATGTCAAGCTATAGATTATTACAGTGTCTTAGAACCAGTTTTCTTGGTGCTGCCTCTATAAATTCTTGTTAGGATGATTTCCCTGGCTCAGTCCTCTTCATCCTCAGGAAAGCCACCTGGACGATGCCCCCAGCTGGAGTCAGAGCCCCTAAACTCTCCCCATCACAGGTGAAAAGGAGGGGGAGTATGACCAGTTAATTCACAGCCATGTGTCCCAGAGATCGTAAGATGCCGAGGGCATGTCTGTGGGGTTCCCTGCTGGATCCCAGGGCCTGGCACACAAAAAGGTGGCATGACGCAGATGTGGCCACAGAGGCCCAACGTGGCCAGTGACTCACTCAAGGCCACACAGAAGTGCAGAGCAGAACGGGGACTTGAATTTGTCTCCTGCTTTCCCACCCTGCCATCCAAAGGGTGCCTCATCCAAAGGGACCTTCTAACTCAGCAAGGAGGGAGGGGCACAGGGGAAGTCCTGCCTGCCCAGCATCCCCTGCTGTAGGCCAAGTGTCACCAGCCTCTGACCACCCAGCATCCATCGCCCCAACACCTCGTCACCCTCTGAGTCCCCTTCCTCGTTTGCTCATCAGCTGAACGCGACTCCTCTTCTTCATTGTTATGCTCAGAGGAGCCTCACTCATGATCTCTGTCTCCCTTCTGTCTGGGACAGGCCGGGAGCAGGTAGGAGGGAGCCTGGGGCTGGGAGAGGAGCCGGCAAATGGGTTCCTGAGTGCCTTTTTTTTTTTTTTTTTTTTTTTTTTTTTGCGGTACGCGGGCCTCTCACTGCTGTGGACTCTCCCATTGCAGAGCACAGGCTCCAGACGCACAGGCTCAGTGGCCATGGCTCACCGGCCAAGCTGCTCCGCCCGGACCGGGGCACGAACCCGTGTCCCCTGCATCGGCAGGCGGACTCTCAACCACTGCGCCACCGGGGAAGCCCTCCTGAGTGCCTTTTGATAAGAGCGGGAGCAGCCTGCACCTGGGCAGAGAGCTGAATGATGGACTGGATGCCCAAGAGCGGGGAAAGCATGCAGGTGGTGGCGGGGTGGGGTGGGGGGAGCAAGCAAGGACCAGAGGTGGAGAAGGATGGATGGGGAAAGTCGGGGCTGGAGATGCTCTTCTCTTTCAGCCCTGGACTTGGACAATAGGACTGGGCCAGGCTCCAGCTTTGGGGCTGGACAGAGCCTCCGTCCACATCTGCCTCTTCCTCCTTTGAGCACTTAATATGTGCCAGACGTTTTGTATATAATATACCACCTCTTAATCTACACCATGACCCTCTAAGGAAGACAACAGGTGAAAAACACTAAGGTTCAGAGAGGTTAGGTAATTTGTCCAAACCACACAGCTAATAAAAATGAAAACAGAAAATGAAAATTGAAAACACTTATTCATCCATTCAACAAATGATTTTTGAATGATTACTTGTGCCCTGCACAGCTAAGCACTTTAGAAGCATTACCTTGTTAAGTCATCATAGTAACTGCCAG